CAGATTAGTAGTTTTATTTAAAGAGACAGTTGTGCTGGACATCCAACATAGCTTAATAAATGTAACTAATAATGATTACTGGAAATTCAGAGAAGAGACCTTTAGCATAGAATAGTAATGCTTAATCTGCAAGGTAAATAAATAAATACCAAGGATAAAAGTGCACTCATAAGAGATGGCTTTCAAATAGCTAAACAGAAAAATGGGGAAAGAGATAATTTATAAATAAAACATGCAAAGGCTGAAAAAACAAACCAAGAAAGGAAATAAAACTGAAACAAAACAACAGCATTTATTTTGTTATACTTTTTTTTTTTTTTACAGAGAGAACAGGAAAAAGTGAATTGTGTCTTATTTTTTTAGGAGAAGTAGTAAAAATAAAATAAACTGCTGAGATACTAGGAAAACAACAGTAAAACAGGGTTAGTGGAAATCAGTAGTCCTCCAGCTTACCATCTATGTATATTTACCAGAGTTGCTGGTTCAAGCATCAATAGCTGAACTGCAGACTTGCCAAAACACTATGTTATTTATGGTCTATTATCCCTCAAAGCATCAGAGATAAAATTTTTTATATATAGAAAACCTTTAGCATGAGTGAAATTTCATCATATGACACCTGAGATGCAGTTGCAGATTCTGGTTCCACAAATAAAGTGAGGAAGCCTTGAAGCTGGCATGGTGCTTTAAAGAGCACCAACAGTCAACCAATGTTACTGCTGAGCCAATTTAATAATGATGAAAAGAGAAATATTGTCCTTCCTTCCTTGTCCTTCCTTCCTTCCTTCCTTCCTTCCTTCCTTCCTTCCTTCCTTCCTTCCTTCCTTCCCCTAAAGATTCTCTAATTGCCTATTGCCATCAAGTCTTCTTGAGATTTTCACTAATAAACGAGCCATGGCTAAATTATCCTCCATTGTACTGAAAATCTCAACTGTCAGAACTTTTGCATGAAAATTACAAGAAGAAAGAGGGAAGAGATGTTCCGTAGCCTTTCCTTGTGAGTTTCTGCATTGGAGGGTTTCCTGTAACTGTGAAGGAAAGAGGTAGAGTCCAAACAATATGATGAAATGATATTTGAAACAGAAGAATGTGGAAAAAACAAGGTGGAAGGAAGTAAAATTTCACTGGCTCAAAAAGGAAGGAACCAAACACCTACACAATCAGTTATTAGAAGGTTTTTTTTGACTTCTACACAATAGCACCAAGAGTTTGGCTAGAGGTGTTCAAGATCATAAAGACCTTAATTTAAAATAAAAGAAAGAAACCAACAGATTATTGGAGGAAAAATCACTAAAAATATTTAAACCATCTATTCTGTTATTAAAAGAATAAAAAGCTAGTACTATTATTTTTTTAAATGTATTTGATGTGTATTTATTTTGAAAAATTGATATTGATTATGAAAAAGTCAAAATATAGTGAAGTAAAAAACATTCTGTCTAAAGTTAATTCAAACTCAAAAGTTCTTTCTAAATGTTCAGCTGTGTAAAATTCCTCCAAGCTGAAATTCAATCCTATTCTTAGAGACAAATAAAATTCAATTTTAATCCTCACATATGATCAAAGATCATGATCTAAAAATTTGACCTTTTCTGTAATTATTTATTAATTAAAAAATATCTGTAAGGCTAAAGTGTATTTTTAATGCATAAGCTTTGTGCTGTAGAAGAATCATTCAAAGAACCCCTCAAAAAATAGTTATTTTTAATCATGTATATATAATAACAAATTATTTCCCAGTGGATTTTTCATTTATAGTCCTGTCAGACTATAAAACAGTAATTTTTTCCTGTTTTGGAACTCAATGTTAATAATTTTTTTAAGTACTTTTGAATCTGTGAAGTAGGATGTCAAATTTTCTAAAAATAAAGTTATATATTTTCATTCTATCTGTCTGTGCTAGCTGTATTGGAATATAACTTGCATGCTTAAACTATATGTCACATGCAATATAATACAGTGACATGACAACTTTTAGTACTTAAGAACAACCTGAAATTCTCCAGAACTTATGATTAAGTTCAAAACCCATTCAATAAATCCATCCTTTCATAAGGTTTTTGAACCAAAGGCAGCAAGAAAGAATACTTTTTTTTGAAGAATTCATCCATAAAGAATGGAGATACCTGAACTTAGCTCCTCCTCCCAATTATATCTTGAACTAACTTGAGAAGCGGGTAAAATACTCAATGAAAATTTGTGGGAAAGAAATCAGAGCATTTAAGTGGAAAAATTCAATTCAAAATTTATTCATAGAGAAATGTCATCTGTATTTGCTGTCCTAGCTAATGTTTGTCTTATATTTGCAGCTCTAGAGACCAGTGTGCTTTTCCCCAACAAGAATTCATTGTCAGTTGTCAAAGGGAAGGAATCACTATATAATTTTCACTGACAGCATTGACCACAAATTCTAAAAAAAAACCTACTTATTGCTTGGAGACTGATATAAGAATGCAGGTGAGAACTCTAAATAAAACAGTCAAAGAAAGAAGAAACATGAGCAAACTATGGGAAAGCAGATAGAAAACAAACAGAGCCTGATGTAAACACTTCAGACTCTGTTCATACTATAGAATTGAAATCCTGAGACTGACATGATATGCTCTGTTCAACTCAGAGAGCATTATCTTTATTTTATTTAGATTTTTGAGCCCCAGCAATTATTCAAAGTGACTAAAGGCTGATTTAAACAACTTATTTAAATATTAGATTTATTTAGTACTTTTAATCTTTATATAAATGGTGCATTTCCCTTTCTACACACATAATATACCAAAATTATCCATTTAATTTATTCTTGGATTATGCATTTTACATGTTACTCTTGCAAACATATATACTACAGCACAGTGACTTTCTCACTGAACTTAACTGACAGATAAAACAAAACAAACCAAAAAAATTTCTAAAAACATTTTTCAAAAGATTTAACTGCTATGGCTAAGAACCATCTTTATTGTGTAGTCTATTTTAATTAGAAACTCCAGTTGAAAAATATGGAATCATTTAACCTTTCAAAAATAAACAAATTGAGTTTATTAAATTACTTTATAGGAAAGAAAACCTTTACAACAATTTAAAAACATTCTCTAGGGGAAAAAGAATGGAAAGCTAATGTAGCATGTGAAGTACTACCCATATGGAAACACCCAATGTGGTAACTGCCTGTCTGGAGTTCTTCACTAAATTTTTTCACCTCACTTTTGAGGTCTGAAGTGTTGCTTGCTAGAAAAATGCAACTAATTTTACTAATAACATGCATGTAAATTAAAGAGACAGGTGTAGAAATAAATTGCATATATTCAAATAGATTGCATATATTCAAATATATTTCAAATAAAGTAAAAATTGATAAAACCAGAGGAAAATTTAAAGCAAAAAATTTTTAATTTAGAGAGACTACTAAAAATTATGGTCCAGATTAGGAAGTTGGACATTTTCCATGTGTACTAACACAGTCTCTAAACTTTTCTGACTCCTAAATAAAAGTCATTTGAATAGAACAAAAAGAAATAAATAAAAATAAATTTTAACCTGTGTTTAGTTGTGTATATATATTATGGGGATAAGACTACCTGCTTCATTCTGGGTTATGAAGAGGAAAGATGGGGAAAGCTACTGTTTCTGATACTTCAGCAACTTGTTCAAATGCATTTTTTTTCAAGATTATCTTAGTGTAAATCTTAGGAGGCCATACTAGAGTTTTCTCAAGAATGCTTTAAGGTTGAATAATAAGAGGTGTATAAAACTGTGATTTATATTTGATTCTGAACAAATACTTCCACAATAGCTACCTCAATCATGGAAAATTAGTTTCAGATGAGGATGTTGCCTAACAAGCATCAAATCTAATAGTTTAACAGGACTATGCACTTATTCATGTGTAAAAATGCACATTTATAGAGATGGAGAGTCCAGCTAAATAAGTTTGCCTGCTATGTGTGTGTACTAGGTATTATGAATACACACATTTAAAGATCACATAACCATAATACTCCCACGCATTCTTCTTAAATGTGTGAAGCCAGGCATAATCAACATCTGTTGCAACACCAATACCAGATTATCATTTACTAGAAAAGCATGAAGCACAACCTTCCTAGTAAATATGAATAATTTGATTAGCACATCTTTCAGCCCATCTGCTGAAATCTTAAAGCAAATTGAAACAAGATAAGTAAATATTTTTTCAAGTGATTCATGCAGCTATTGCCATCATTAAGAGGTTCCACTTGAATTAACTACAGTCTTCCATCTATTTTAAATGACAGTGATGTGCAGAATATGTTTCATCTAAACGTTTGACCTCATGTCTATAGAGAAAATGCTATCAAGCAATTCACCCAAATAGGCGCAGAAAGGAACAATGACATAATTTTTAAATTTAGGAAAATTTTTCTAAGAGACTGAATTCAACTGGCATAACCAACTGAGAAAGCCTCTTTTGAAGAACCTGAAGTAATACCTCCCTCAATCATTTGCAGTCAATTGTAATGGTATCTGGTGTGACATTGCTTTGTTCCATCAGTATATAAGACATTTTTGTCTTACTTCATGCACTTTATTGTTAAAATTTCAAGAAAAATTAATATTAAATGACGTGTGCTTACACTACACACAGAGAAATTTATCTAAGACAAAAATCTCAGATTCACTATCAGAAAAGGAGACCTCACTTGTATTGCTGTAGCAAATTTTGTTATAAACCAAAATTTTGTTATAAAACTTCTTACGTACATTCCCAGAAATAAATTCTGAGTAGTATTTATTTCATATTTTGACTTAGACATATGCTATGGAAAAGCTAGACCAAAACAACCACTGGCTATGGGCAAAACAGAGATGCTTTTTTTTTACAAATTCTACACTAAAGACGTAATAGATACCCATCCACCTGCATCAATTCTTATTCAAAGAGAATTATCATAAAAGTTTTACAATTTTTATAGAAAGGTTTGAAATCTAAATGCATATTTGAAGGCTTGTAAAGCTTGACTTACATGATCAATTAATTCACGAACCATCCCATTCCACTGTCCGCTGGCATCTTCTTGGGCTCCATACTTTCCATCCTCCACCAGTCTAATCTCATAGGAAAATCCAAGGATAGTGGACAGCTCCCTGAGGAGGTCAATGCAATAACCTTCAAAGCGATCATTTCCATACAAGGGTTTGTCAGACTTCTTGAACATAACATATGGCTCTTCCTGTAAGACAGAATGGATAATGAGTGCCCCCACACCTTTCTTCTCATTTTAGCCTAAAGTAGTAGACACTCATATGCTTACATATGCCTACACTCATGACATCGCTCCCTATAAAACAAAATAATATGAAAACCAGAATCCTTTTAGCTTTGTCTGTGTATGTCTGAAGTCCTCATATATTTTCAAAGATTCACTTTGTCTTCTTTTTTTTTGGAAAAAATACACTCTCAACACTGTAGATGTGTCTTCAAGAAATGCATATACACACTAAATTTAAGTGTGCTCCCTATTTCCATTATACAGTAATCTAAAATGTATTTTTTGGATGGACAACATAAGCCTTTAAAAATGCAGAAACAATGTGCTTTGGCAACTGAAAAAAAATTTCATTAAAACTCCAAACATTGATTAAATATTTTAGACATTAGATCTTACACTTTTATTTATATAAGTATTTAAACTGTTTTCTCAATGCTTTTTTAGGCAAAGCCTAAAAAACCCACATGGGAAGGAGAAAGTCAGTGAAAGCACCTACTTCTCTGCTGCCTCAAGTTATAGGCTGCCATTTACAAGACTGCAGCAAAACCTGAGAATATTTACACAAAAAGTTCTATGATAGACATTCCATGAAAACTGAATTAAATTTCTTTAGGCATTTATCTTCTAACGTTTAAATCAAATTACAATGTAATATTTTTTGCATTAAGTGGTGTGCAAACAGATAGTAAACAAATAAAAAGGATTGGCAGAAAAACCACAATTATAGGAAGAAAATTTACATTTTGCAAAACAGTTTTTTTGCATCTGTTTCTCAGTATAGGGTGGCCTTTCTCAAACAGAAAATTAAAGGGAAAAATACAAAAAACAATTGGTAGTTTTCCACTGCAATATGGAACCAATATTCAAGCTGTGTTTGTTAGGTTAAATATGCAACTTGATCTTTGTTCACTTTTGGGAGAGATTCTTTTCATTTTTTATAATTAAAAAGGAAAAAAATCACATAAGGCAAGACAAATAATGGTATATTCAATCATTACACCAAACACAAGACTCAGTGAGCATTCAGATAAACTCTCCAGGGACTCTTAAGAAAATTCTTAAGTCCTAAATCCCCACATCAGCACTCAGTGGGGTTAAAGGCACCTCATTCCACAGGCACCTGACTGCTTTAATAAATCAACACTCCTAATGTAATCTTCTGCTTTGAGTTTTCCCATTATTTAAATATTATAGCAACGTATAACTGGAACTTTAGTACATAAGATTTTACCCAAAAAAATGAAAAGGAGAATGCAGGGAAGAATCTTGTTCTAAAAAGAGCTGCTATATACTCCTATTGAAATAAGTAAGGTTACAGACATATTTTCAGAAAGTACATCACAGATCTTTATACAAATAGCAAGGAACAAACATGAAATAAATTGTCCAGCCAAGCTACTAGAATGTTTTGACAGAAATTTGTCAAACAACAGGTAAACAAATTACTCCAGAGGAGCTCTTTAAGATGTAATACTGACAAGAACTAAGACCTAACAGAAAATGTGAAAGTTGAAAACAATTTAAATGACAAGGATCTCCGAATAATTCTTGAGAAACAGAGATGGTGTCAGAGCAAAACCTATGTGTGAAAATACTTGTTAATTGTAACGGTGTTCACAGGGGTCTTAGGATGAGGGAAGAGACGAGGATCTGACTCCATGTTTCAGAAGGCTTGATTTACTATTTTATGATATATATTATATTAAAACCATACTAAAAAAATAGAAGAAAGGATTTCATCAGAAGGCTAGTTAAGAATAGAGTAGGAAAGAATGATAACAAAGGCTTGTGGCTCAGACTCTGTCTGAGCCAGCTGACTGTGATTGGCCATTAATTAGGAACAACTAACATGAGCCAATCAAAAATCTACCTGTTGCATTCCACAGCAGCAGATAACTGTTGTGGAATGTTACATAGATAATCATAGATAGATAACCATTGTTTGCATTTTGTTCTTGGAGTGTCTCAGATTCTCAAGAGGAAAAATCCTAAGAAAAGGATTTTTCATAAAAGATGTCTGTGACAGTTAATAATCTTGAGAAGTTTATATTAAATATCTCAAAAAAATAACTGTAAGAAAAGCAATTTTTTTTCAGGTGAAATTACAATTCCTTAAAGTCACACCACTGGCCAAGCAGAAGCCATACTACGACAAAACACAATGTGCTTTTTTTTCTGGGGTAGCAGCAATTCACATCACATTAACTAGTATGGTTTGGATTTGTGCTCAAATCAGGGTTATAACACAGGAATATTTTCATTACTGCTGAGCAGCGCTTACACAGTGTCACGGCCTGCTCTGTAGGCATGAAGGAATTCTAATGTAGCTTGGAATGTTCATATACACAGATCCAAGACATTTGCTCTCAGAGTTGCTCAGATATTTACAGTCTTACACATCCCCCAATGTCTGGAATCGTGGCAAGATTCTTGACAACATTTTTGTCTCTGTCTCCCATTCCAGGCAATCCTAAGTTATCTGGGACAGAATTTAAATATGTGCAATATCAGGGAGGACATATATTTGTCAATTTGTGCTTTTAATTCTCCTTTGCTTAATAATCACAGCAGGATTTTCTGCACTGAGCAATTCAGCTCATTGATAAATTCCTACATATTTTTCTATCAGATCATTGTAGAAATGCTCAGACATATTATCTGTTCTGCTGATGCTTTTTTAAATTTTGATAAGGAAAAATAAAAAAAAATCTTGCAACCCTTTCTAGAATTCTTAGCTCCAACTCCAAATCATTTATATTCTTTACTCTGGCCAACTTGGATAAGGCCTACAATAGTATCTGTACAACTATTTAATGATTTTTAACTTTTGCTGAGATGACTGATCAATAAGTTATTAATACTTTCTTAATGCTTTTCCAATCCTACTTTAGGTAATTTCTTACTGCTACTTTTTCTTATAGTCTTCTACTATAAAAAGCATTTGGGTTTTTTTCTCTTCAGACCTTTTACTTGCTATGTAAAGTGATTTCTGACTTAACTTGAGCAGGGTTGGTGTTGGCAGCTTCATCTGTAATAGCTCCTATTAATCCCAATGTTTTCTCTAATTAGCTTTTTCCTCAAGTAATACACATTCTAAATACTGAACATGGCATTCAGGTATCCTGAACAAGTGCATGCAAAGGGTTCCACATGCTCCATTTGCTCAAGCTTTAAACTTGTAGAATGGGCTAACATAAAACTGGTTGCTAAACACTCTCAGTAAAGTCTCTATTCATTAAATGTACAATCACCATTGCTTCTTGGTATTTTATGACTTCCACCAAAATTGTTCACTAGGACAATTATCATTGATTAGGTAGGCAGAGTTTTTAAACGGACTGATATTTAGATTGGCAACTGGTTTATACTTTAACATTGCTCACAATTTCTTTCTTTTCTTTCAGTTGCTGAAATCATGACCCTTAAAAATCACTAGACCACATCACAAAACCAGTACTTGAAATCCTCTAAACAGCTTCAGTTGAAATTAAGTCTTTCAACTGGACACATCTCTCCAGGAAATCAGGGGAACACCTTCCTTTAGTGCTTTTATTATTGCTCGGAATGACATCAGTAGCTTGGAAACAAAAAGTCACTGATTAAACACTGACTGTAGACTCCAGAATGAATCTTCAGGAAGACGAATGTTTCCAGGAAACATTGCTACTCTAAATTAACAAAAGGTCAGCTAGCTTGTTACAAAATTTTGAGATAAAAGTCATCATTTAATGTCTCATAAGACTAAAATATCTTCTATGAAGAGGGATGCAGAAGAGCCCCATCCAAAGCCAGATAAGCACTCCAAGTGAGAGTGTAAATAAACTTGTAAATGCAACAAATCCTTTTTCTGAGAAAATTTATGGAAAAGTAAAGTTAGCTAAAATACTGCAAATAAAGGTATGGCTATAAGGAAAAGAGGAATCACAGGTAGATTAAAACCATAGTTGCAAATAGAAGATAAATCTTTGAAAATTAATTAATATTGTAGCTTTATAGTCTGGTTTTAGCTTTAAAAATGTACAGCTTGAATAAAATGTACAGCTCTTGAATAAAAGCACACATTCTAAAAACCAACATTCTTCAACTTTCTGTTTCTCTTTTCAGATTTGAATAACAAATATTTACTAGAATTATTCCTGTGAGTTATATTGTATTTCAACTACAAAGATATTACTAGAAATTACAACAAATTTTAAATTTCAGGTTCTTTTATTTTTTACAAATAATAATCAAACATATATTTTTCCTTCATAGTTTCAACACAGAATAGCATATTTTTAAAAGAATCTAAAATGTATTACTGCCAGTATTGAGAAGAGGAGAACCATTTGAAAATTTGCCACTGTTAGAACAGAGATTTTGATGATTAGCTTCTGCTCACCAGAAGTTTGGATACTGGAATGTTAAAAGACTGCCAAATCTTCTTAGCATTTATATCAGATAAAAGGAATACACAGTAGGTTTTCATAGTAGGCATTCAAAATTCTAATGGGAGAGGTGAAGTAACTAGTTACTATCAATCAAAACAATTGATGGGTGATCCACCTTTAAAAAGATAGCAGGAAAATCCATTCTTTTAATTTTAACATTCTTTTAATTTAAAATTTGGCCACTGAAAATTCATGCTTGGGTATCCAAGAGAAAAGGGAGAGAAATTATGCACTACCCATTTGATAAAGCAGTATATATCAATAAAATACAATGTGCAAATACTATACTTTGAACCAAGTAAAATTGTTTAAAAATTTATTATAAATATTCCTTCTAGTTCCTTCTAATTCTATTCCTATTTCAAACCAATTTTTTAAGGGAACTACAATAAAAAAGGTAATTTCCTTTTTCAAATGCGAAGTAACAAAAACTACTAAATTGAGAACATCACACACCTTTCATAACTTTCACACATTCCTTGGAAAAATTAAACTTGACAACTGTGAGCTTTTCTGAGCTTTGATGTAAGCAGATACAGAAAAGTGCATAAAAGCTATGCAGGAAAGGAAACAAGTATTTATTTTAGCAGAACAGGGCATATGAACCAGTATGATAATATGTACAGGCTGATATGAAATTAGCATAAAAAATGCCCTAAGTACCATACACATACCTTTATAAACATGGAAATTTAATTCCAAAGTTAAAACTCTCTCGAGTTTGAAGTAGAAGATATACAAGAACAAAAACATTTAGATATTTACATCTAAAGTCTAAGGAGAAGAAATGTTTCAGAGTTCTGGTAGGAGTCAATTTAGGAGACTCAAATAATAGTAAATCCTTATTACTGAAGCTGAAAATTTGTTTTCTGTAGGTTTTTTGTTTGGCTTGTTTTTCTAAATGCGGAATATTCAAAAACTAGACTTTTTAAATGAGAAAAAAATTCTGAAGTTTCAATGCAGATGGTTTTAAAATAAAGCAAAGTAATGGTATAAAAAGGACTGATATATCCAAAGCAATGATTATATAAGATGAAAAAACCAGCACACTTATTATCTTTCAAAAGTTTCCTCCCCTTCCCTAAAAAGACCTGACTATCTCTCCAGTGGACATGTTCAGTTGGTGCTTGGGGCTGCTATGGGTTCAGAACCTGGAAATCAGACAGGTTTCTTCACAAAAACTACATGGAGGTTGATTTCTGAGAAAGGTTGGAGTCCTGAGAATCCCTGTCCAGAACAGAGCTTTGAATTGCTGAGAAACCAAGGAATAATCTTTCAGCTTGCTACCTGTGAAATGAAGAACTCAAGACAAAAAGGAGCACATAGTTCTGTCCTTGCTTATAGATGAATTTATGAATTACAGTTTATATTTTATTACTTTTCCCATCAATGTCTTTTTCTTATTCTAGACACTCAGTCACCAGTAGAAATGCAGGGTATACTTACAGCTGTAAAGATCTAAATGGCTGCAAAATATAGGAGGGAAAAGATATTGCTCCAAATTTCAGAATTAAAAATAAAAGAAAGACTGGGATATTTAAATAAAAAGTGAGCATTAAGGCAAACTACAGAGAAAAATGATTAAGGCTTCCCAGCTGGCAGTCTACTATAGACTATTGTAGGGAATTCTCAGAGTGAAGGAAACATCATAGGAAAACCATATGAATAGCTTAAATCATAGAATTGCCTTTTCTTTTTTCATTTAAGCGAGATTTTGCAGACTCAAAAAAGGAGAGAAAAGCTGATGATGTAGGTATATTTCTAGGAGCTTTAGCATTTTCTATTGTTCCCTTGCATTGCTACAAAAATGAATATTCATTAATATGCTTTCTGTTCAACAGAAACATATTCTTTAAGCATAAAAAAGATAAAACTAGCAAATGAAGCTAGTACATGCATTTCTGCACCAAAAATGGCTTGGGTTCTTTTTACTATTCCAAGTACAGCTCTTCCAATTTGTACCACTTCTTCTGAGTACCTTTCTTCATAGCTGAAAAGAGTAACTGCAATTACCAAAACTTTTACTATACAATAACTGAAGCAAAAAAGGCAGCTACAAGTGAGCAACTTGTGACATCACTTTAAAGTCCTTCTTTTTTCATGCATTATTTAGATACTTGCAAAGAAGATGGATACTTTTAAAAGACCACTAACCAAAAGTTAACTCTTAAGAGAAAGGATATCCTTGATTACAGAAAGCAGCTTTTCTCTTGAATCTCAGGAGTCTTCTTTTGTGAGCTTTACCAGACTGAAATCAGTGCTCACTGGCAGCAGTGCTCTTTACATTTCTGCTGTTTACTATTTCTTGAGCCAATTATTTCAACCAAAATCATGCCAGTATCACTATATAAGAGCAATATGATACTTGGAGTACATTAACTCAAACCTCATCAACAGGCAGATGTTAAAACACAAACAAACTTGAAACACTCTAAATTATTGAGTGTTTCTTATGTAATCTTGTGGGGATTGATCCTTTTGCAGAATTGTTATCACAGTTATCTGTAATATGTTATCTGGGATCAAGCACACAATGATGGCTACTGGAGAGTGAAGAAACCAAGGCTGGTTCATTACTGAGTAACAAAGGGAGCAGGTCACTGGCAGAGACAGGACTTTATTCTGTAAAGCAGGAATTCTAGCAGCCAGTAGGTTCACATGAATTGAAGTTACAGGTCAGTGAATAGTGCCAAGAAAAATCCTAGGCAGGATATCTGGTACAAAGCAATAGCAGTATAGAGAGCATGGAATTGGAATTATTCATAAAATTTACTTGATAATGCAGTAGTTTTTACATGTTGGAAACATGTGAAAGTCAGTGGGAAGAAAATTGACAGAATAATACTCTAGAGAATATATGACATTCATTTACATTTTATATTAAAAAAAGAAACAAGGAATCATAAATTTATAAACTAAGTTATAACTATAGCTGACCATCACTATAATTTATGGTACAAGAGGAAGTTGCGGTAAATCTGTGCTTGTCTTAGCATAGCAAGAAATTACATCTGAAAGTGAGGCAGTCATGTTCCATTTTATATATCTGCTATTCATTTTTCAATTAGTAAAATAAATGAAGTGAAGGATATCAGAAGATTTTCTATCACTTGTAAACAGACCTTATAAGCAGTGAAAAAGTTACCCACTGGATGAAATTATATGACTTATGTAACATAAACTGTTTAAAGCACACTGGCATTTGTGTCTATACATCTGTAAAAATTCATTCCAGTTTGAAATATCATAATATTTTGGTAGGTAAAAGCTTCTTAATAAACTATACAACCACCAGGAAGCAGATTCTTTTTTAATATCTGCAAATTCATGATAATGGCGGCAACAGACAAACACACCAGACAAACTTCTTGAAAATTTTAAATTTGCATTGAAAATAAAATTACTATTTCAAAATTACTGTGAGGAAATAAATGAACACTTATTTTTACATAAATAAATGTGTTTGCTTATAAGTAAAAAATACCTCATTCACTGCTATGAATTTGTCAACAGTGAAAATAATACAGAAGTTATTTAAATTGTTTCTTCTGGTCTAGTTCAAAGGATAAATTATATATCCGTATAACTAAAAAATTCATCTCAATAATTGAGCAATAGCAATTCTAAATAAATGTTAAATACTTTGTACTTTCCTTTGAGGTGTTAGAAGAGCAAACAAAAGCAATAAATTTTTGCTGGCTAAAATCATCAGGCTAACAGACAAAACACATTTTATAACCAATTATCTTTTGTGATCTCATATGGCTCTGAAAAAGGCAGCTTTGTAAAGAAGAAAACATTTCAGCCAATAATAAGAAAAGTTAAATTACTAATCAATTAACATAACTCTAAAATAGGATAACCTGCTCACAACGAAGGAAAGAGTAAACATCCATGACTAGTTATCAATTGGTGATCACTCATGACACCATAAACTCCAAGTAATTCCAAGTAAATTCTAAGTAATGGTAACGTACACTGCAGACTGTTCACTAATATTGCAATTAGTGTGTCACATTCTATCAGTTTTTCTGCATAACTGTATTTCAGGGAAGCAAATACAATTGCTTACCAAGATGGTAGTGACAATTAAAGAGCGATTGGACAGGGAATCTGTGATGTTTGCTGGTTTTCCCTTCTGATTCTCTGTCATGTTAAGGCCGCTCAAAGGATCCCAAGTTCCAACCTATAAAACAGTAAATGACTGTGTAAATCACCCATTAGTTACAATTCAGCATCTAGAAAAGAACACTTTAAGGAAAAACAGATTGTTACAGGTGGAAAAAATTGATTGATAAGAATTATTATTAAATTTTGTTTCATTTTTCTCTGTCATTACATTTAAAGTCTGCTTATTTAAAATATGTTTAGCAATACCTTAAATTATGTTTTGTGAAGTGTGACATTAGGTGTAAAAATGATATAAAGAATGTCTAAAGCTGCTCTTAATACTTAATTTTCCATTTCTCAAGATAAACCACATCTGAAGATAACAGGCAGAAATTAATTTGCAGAGAAGAGAGCATTGTCTCGTCAAAAGGATTTACCCTTTTCTGTGATCAGAGAGAACAGCAGGACAAAATATGTTTTTGGGAAAAAGTAATGGAGAAGACAGGAAGAGGGAATAACTCAATTTATTTACAGATAAATCTTCAACACATAAGTATTTTGACATTTTATACTTCAAAATAAAATCTATAGGATTTTTATCTACGTACGAACATACAACGTTGTGCTTTAAGGTTCAGGTCAAGGACAGGCATTTGTACTAAGTAGTAAGTAATGAGGCTTATCTGTAACTTATCTACATTTTCATTCTTATACAATTATAATGGTAAATATAATTGTAAATATAAATATATTATAAATATATTATAAATATTCTACCCATTTTAGAAATCAGAATGTTTTTACTCTATTGTCTAGGAAAATCCCCACAAATATGTCCTATTTTGGTTTTAGACACAATTTTAAACACAATTTCAAATACTAAGTAATATCTATAACACAAGATAGATATTTTAAAACTAAACCTAGACAAAAATTAAGAATTTCTATAAGGATTCATTGCGAATATATGTATGTATGCATAAACACACGCAATTTTTTAAATTATCTTTTCAGCTGAGTCCGGAAAGACCGTTTGTATACTTTTAAGTGATTTGTTGCCACAAGGCTGTAAAGTAAGTTTAGGATGCAAGGTGAAATGGATAAAAAGAGTTCCATTTTTAAAACTGAGACTACAGCAGAGCATGAATTAGTGGATGCTATAATAAAAAAAAGACAAATTTGATCTCTTTTTCTAAGATTTTCTGTCCCACAGGAATCAATATTTTCTCTGTCTTCCTTGCTTAACACTCAGTTTCAAGAAGTCACTCTTTGGAACTTGGCCATTCAGTACCTCGTAAGCTGATCAAAGAATCAAGGAGGGAAGGAAGAATATGTGTATCTCAGAAATACAATTGGAAAAAACATCTAACACATCATTTCAAAGTATTAAAATCAAACCTTGCTACCAAAAAATCTCTCCTTCATTTACTGTTTTAATACAATTTGATTTAGTGAATTGAAAGGCTTTCAGAAAACACAAAATGTTCAGACTCGCAGCTTGGCCGCAATCAGGAAATTTTAAAAGGGTTGCTAACATTTAATTGCAGTGTTCTGCTAATTATGACAATCACAGTGTTTGCTTTATTTTGAAGATGAAACTAGAGTAGAATAACAAGATGAGAACTTGAGCCTGATGCTACATAACTGAAGCTGAATTAATCTCCTCTATGAGATATAACTTCAGGTACACAAGTAGCACAAAAATTTCTGAGGAAACACCAACATTTTATATGATCAGTTTCAAATCCTAAATTCATCAAGTCATTTGCTTTGTTCAAATTCATGTTTATAATTCAAATTTATATTGGCAAAATATAAGACATTGCTAACTAAAATACGTCCTCTCCTGCTTTTTTGACATAGTCAGAAGCACAAGCAAAAGAATATCAACTGTTAGAATTTGGATTTTATCTAACTACAGACTTAATCTATTGCAGACCTATAAGAATTACCAACAACATTACTTTAAAAAGAAATTTGTCTTTATAAATTGATTTATTATTTTTCTAAATTAGATTCATGGTACTTTTGCTGCTGCTTTTTGTAAACCAAAAATCTAAGAAATGGACCAAAAGTCAGAGGTTTAAAATTAGACTTTCTTTGGATTATCTCTGTTGATGAGCTCAAACCCAACAATTTGTACCACAGGTTCTTATATGTTACTGATGCGTTTAGTTCCCAAATCACAGAAATGTATTTTCAAAGTTGCTTCTTACAGAAAAGTTTTGCAAAAACAATGCAGCAAGTTAATAATTTTCTATTTGTTTCAGCAGCACATTGTTTTAATTTTTAAGTAGTTTTTTTAAACCAAATAGAATTGCCAATCTGTTTTTACTAGAAAAGTTTAAAAGCCAAAATTGAAGAAAAAAGTGCATCAAGGCAGTCTGTAACTGAAATTCAAACAAGCTTATTGCACCACTTTTGTTTCAGAAAAACTTACAAATTTTCCTAAAAAGCGAAACAAGTATTCATATATACACTTTAGAGAGAACATTCACACAGTAAATCTATAATAAATATTGGCTATATTGTCAAGCCCTTAATTTCCTATTGTTCTTTCCAATCTCCCTAAATGGCTAAACTATTCTGAACAGACCATGCCAATCTGAATATTTTAACACCTATTATCCAAAATACAGGATCCACACCAGGTGTACCCATTAACACGTGCTCCACAGTGAGACAAAGAAAAATGATAGAAAGAATTAGCTTAGGCAAGAATCAGCTTATTTAAGTTGAAACAATTCCAAGAGCTACATTCATCATTAAATATCATAGAGTATTCTGTAACGTGGTAATTGCAGTGGTCCTCAAGAACATGGAATACAATTTCCCAAATTCATGTCAAGTGTTAAAAACTTGCATCCAAACTTCCACATATTTGACTTCCAGGTAACTATCAGGTTACTGCAGTCCCTCAAGAACAGATATTCCCACCCAGCTGGACATGCCCACCAGCATCACTGTGTAGCTCTGCAGGCTACAGAGGCCTTGACTCTGTGTAAGAGCTGCTCAGCAATTGCTCAAACATTCCTGTGTTATCAACGCTGTTTTCAGCTCAAATCCAAATCACAGCCCCATACAAGCTTATATGAAGGAAATTAAGGTTAGCACAGAAGGTCCTGCTCCATGTCTACCAGCACTGACATGCTCAGCTCTTGCAGCACACATCATACCTGACATCCAACATCACCTACGCAGCTCCTAGCCAAAACCATCAAAAATTTCACCATCCTCCTCAAAAACAAAGCACTGCACATTCGCAAAACTTAAATTGTGCTGAGTTTACATGTGCTCTGGAGCACTTTACAGAGATTCAGTCTCATGAGATGCTAGTCCCAAAAAGTCAGTAGCTTTCTTACTTAGCATGTTTCAAAAGCAATTCATCTTCATGAATAGATAAGTATACTTTCAAGTATTATTCTTTTTGATTTTTCTTCAAAGTTCTCCTGAGAAAATTAGCATTGTTTTTCCTCTGAGTCAATCAAAACTGTGAATATGACTCACAGTGAAGTGCCACAAGCATTGTATTAGGAAGGATCATTGCCTTTCTGCAGTGATACCCACTGACTAAGCAGCCAGAACCATGCTCAACTCTCAAAGATTTTTCAAATTTATCTATACCTTCTTTATTTACTTTTGTGGAGTAATTAGTAGCAGTGGTGATTACATCAAGGAAATAATTATACTCCATTAGGGATAATAATGTTTCTTCATATTTCTGTATCTCCCATTTGCAAATTGCTTAATTTATTTTTTTTTCAGTAATATTAATATACATGCCTCCTTTGCCAAATATAACATAAATAACAATACTTTAATACTTCTGGATCCCACAGATTTACCATGTCTTTGGGTTTTTTTCCCTCTCTTTTTCTCTTCCTTTGCCACTCTGTGAAGGTTTCTGAGCAAGGCTTCAAGCCAGTTGTAACAGCTCTTATTCAGGATATGTGATTGTTCTTAAGTGACAAATTTTCATATCAAAAGTGATATTAAATTCAGGTATTTGTTATCTCCTTGAAGTATAAAATAATTTTCCTCACAATGCAGCCTCAGTGTAGACTGATTGACTGCAATTTAAATAATAATTTATTATGCTGGAGTGTCACAGTTTGGGATTTTCACTGTGCTTAATCATGAATAGTTTCAGTCTGTCCAAAGTGACTGTAATAAAATTTTGTGGTATATTATATTAACAGCACTCCAATCATCTCTTAATTTGGTCATGTTCATCTTACAAGGAGCTATCATTTTTGGCAGACATGAAATTTTATTTGGAAACACATTCTTCTTATTGACTGATGCCTGATTATCACCTCTCATTCAAGAGTTTCAGGAACAAGTAATTTCTGTAAAAGTTGAGATCACACATAGCATTTTTTTAAATCAGTGAGGAATTGTTCTGTTGTCACCGACTTCAGCAGTCATTGAATTTATAACACATGATTCAGGTAATTTCCCAGTTATACTGGTTATACTAACAGGTAATTTATCTAGGACATTTTTGTGCAAAATCTAAGTTTAAAAAAAAGTCTTCTAGTAATTTTTCACAATAATTTTTTTCCCCATCCATCAATATTTTTCTCTTCAGGGATTACAGCTGAAATTGTTGAGCTAAACTATTGTCCTTGACAAGAGAAATATTTGGAAAGAGGTTAGAAGAAATAACAACAGTTTACCGTATGGAAACATGGCATAAGAATTCTGTGCACCATAATATGCATCTCCCCACCTTTTCTCATCCCACAAGTGGGAGGATGTACAGAAGAAAAGGAAAAAAAAAACCTGTTCAGTAACTCTTAGCACATAGACAGAGATGTCTGACAAGATGGTTTGGGAAGAACATTGAAAACATATCAGATAAGGACAGAGATGCAAAAAGGCTCCTGAAGGAAAAAGAGAATAGAAAGGGCATGGAAAGCGATTAATAGGTACAAGGGAGAAGGATTAGATGGAAAGGGAAACAGGTAAGGAAGGTCTGGGAGAGGGGGGAGAGGCAGAGGCAAAGGGGAAAAAGGAGGAGCAGAAAGAAGGAGACAGAAAGATGGAGTGCACATGTGGATGGAGGTAGGGGACTGAGAAAAGGGTGACCCGTCACCACTTTAACAGAACTAAGTCTTGGAGGAAAAAATCCTCAAAACTTTGAGACAGCTCTTTCAAATAAAAGAACTGGTTAAAATGTACTCCTTCAACTAGGAAGTGTCCTGCTCCAAAATTTAATCATTCACTCTGGATTCAAGAAGAATAAGGTTTGCATTCTTTCAGAATAACGAAGTTTTGTTGTTCAAAGAGCAACATTTCTCTGTGGGCATTGATTTATCTTTCTCAGTAAAATATACCATATGTTTCATATGTTTAGTAAGCAATTCAATCGAATGTGCATACACTTGAATTTTCCTTTTCCTCCTCTCATCTCCTTGCACCCCAGAGAAATTGCTCTGGTTTTGCTCATACACAGTAACAGATTGTTTCTGCTTGTTCCAAAGATTGCCAACAGTTTTTGGGGGAAAAGTGATATTATCACTTCCACTTATCACATGATCAAAATAAGAAATGAAGGCAGTAAAAGTATCTTTTCTATGAAAATATTTCTATACAGCTCAAGCACATACTGGGCTTTTTAAAATATCATGATGTTTCAAAAAGTATTTCTGTTTTTGTCTCTTACTTAACTTTCAATATAACTCTTTACCAAGTTCCTTTTTTCTATTATGTATTTTAGAGTACTACTATATTTCCTGTTGAATTTTATTGTCTTGCATATTTCTCTGTAGACTTTTTTTGCTTTATCTCTATATTTTCACTGATGTATATATCTCCTAGTGTATTGTCAACTGAGATTTTATTTTCCAGAAATCTCATGTTGCTTTGCGATTCCCAAATGTCACCTAATGTTCTTAAAGCCATCCTAAATTACAAAGACTTCCTTTCCACATTTTCAACACTTGTCACTTACATACAAACTCTTCAGCCACTGCTGACTTATTTAGCTATTACCATGACATTAATTCTTCCATTTCTGTTTCCAGTAAAAAAGACAGGTTGCACTGTACTTATTCTACTCGTACACAATACTGATTTACTTTTCAAGTCTAGTCATTCTTTTCCCTGGCTAAGTTGCCTGAGTTTACTTCATGGGACACTTAATGGCAGAAATCTACTGTCAATGTATTATTGAGCACTTTCAAATATAATTTAGTTCTTGAATCACAGGTTTTCCTCTGGACAACAAGAATGTTATTACCTATGTAAGTGTTTCAAGACAAGCTCATGGTTTCTGAGCTTTTACAAATCTTCCCAGTAAGAGAAAATTAATATTACAAAGCTAGTCTTGTGAGCTGAAATTTTGGTAAAGTATGCTTTTTATGCTAGCATCTCCATTCAGTGATTTACAGAAGAAAAGGCAAATCTGCAGTATGGTCCCTTCCCTTAATTTCTGTTTTTATTTGTGCCCACAATTACCACCTTGGGGCAATAGCTGACAAAACTTGATCTGAAGATGAAGAAAAACATAGTTCTTACAGAAGACTGAACATCAGATCTAAATGCAAACTTCAAGACAGATGCCAGTTGCAAAACCTTTGCCTGCTGGTCACAACCATGTGAGACACTGTAGCTTCCTGCAATTGCCTCTTCATGGTAAGGTGGCTGGAGGGAAGATGATCTGACTTCAGATTATGATGGTGTCATATAGGCAGGCCAAATATCTGTACATGCTTTCTGAGCTCTTAAGTTCAAATATGGACAATACTAAGCTACATGGAAAGAGCATTTCCCAATTCTTTGGGCTCTCACTCCACCTCTGTACAAGAAACATTAATGTCAGAAGACAGCTAAACCATTGATGATACCAATTCTTAACTTTTTAGTACCACTTATACTGACTTGAGACCAGGTACACTGTTTTACATTACACAAGAAATACTGCTGTAAATGTTTTTAGAGGGTTTAGTTTTGTTTTGTTTGTTTCCCACTTCCTTGCAGGCAAATGTCTTACACACCTTTTCAAGACCTTCTTCCTTGAGGCTGATGACATCCAAATCAAAATCTGTCCTTAAGCCATTCGTTTTGTTGAAAGTTATCCTGCCTGTGAGGCCTTCCCAGTGGGCCTGTGAAGAAAGAAAAAACAATTTCTAGAAATAAATACCTTACCCTTTATTTTTTTTTCTCAGAAGTAGCAAACTGTCAAAATGGGATCATTAATTATTCATTTTATGTAAATAACTTACCTTGTGGCTGATTTTTTGTTTTTAAATATTTTGTGTTTATTTTTTGCTAATGAAATCAAACTTTATTTTAGTCTTCTAAAAAATAGACAATTTTTTAAACTTCCCGTATCAGGCAATAGATTCTATTGTTCTTTTCAGTTCTTTTACTGAACAAGATATACTGGACAAGATAAAAGGCTGGGGTTTTTTCATTTCTCCATCATTCATGCATGCATTTCTCCTTCTGCTTCCCTACATACTTCCCCCTCCCCGGTCCCCAAGCTTCAATCTGTTTCATTAATGCTGGACTTCATCTTTTTTCTCAGGAAATCTCATTCAAATAAAAGCTTACTTTTGGAAGATGCTGATTCCCCTGAAACCACACCAAGAAAGCAAAAATTGAGGTCAGTGAGCCAGCCTTCCTAAGCTTATTCCTCACTTTTAATAAAATGCAATAGCCTAACTTTTTTTATAACTTAAAATCTACCCTAGTTCTGAAACTATACAAAGTAGGAGAGAAAATGTGGGAAATAAAATTATTATTGGTTCCGTGAAGGAACCAATATTGGAAAAAAAACCTACATTCCACTGCAAATTATTCTCTTCATCAGAATATTTTGTATATCGGGATTGAGAAACACTGTATGAGGAGTTACAGTATGGGAGATTTGAGTAGTCTACAGTCTTGAACTGAATAGTCTTTAGCACCTTAAATCTTATAGCTTTGCTGTCCCTATCTGTCAATACCCAAACAGCATCTTGGGTAATCAAGGAGACATATAGTAATTCACTATAGAAAATTAAGAAAAAAATCAGTTTTAACCTGGAAGTAAAATTAATTCCTGGCCCCTTTAAACTTATGCCAGTGTTTAGTTGATGGATTTCTCATAATCAGTCTACAGTTTAGAGTTTCAAGTGTTAGGGGTTTTAATGCCACAAATGCACTACATAAACCTATTATCTACAAATATATGTTTTATGTAGAATGCAGTTATTTCACCTTTCCAAATATTTTAGTTACAAGCAATACTTCAGGAAAACCCACTTTCAAATAAAAATTCTATCTTGCTTATCAAACTCCATATATATAACAAGATGAGAGACAACCACCTAGTAAAAAAAATAACCAAAAAAAAAAAAAAAAAAAAGAAAAAAAGGAGTGAGAGCAAAAGAAAATGGAAATTGGGAGAAAAGAAAGAAAGCAGGGGAGCAGGCTGCTTTCTGAGTGACTTACCTCCTTGATGAGGGTCATGAAGCGCGTCCCGAAGCGCCATGGCTTGTGGCGGTTGCACTGCAGCGAGCTGACGGTCATCTGCGGGAACTGCTGGACCGCCACGGACACCACGTGCACGGCGTCGTACATCAGCGCCGCGTCCGTCTGGAACGACAGCACCACCAGCACCGTCAGCACACAGAAAGAGAAGGAAACTACAAATTAGCACTGCTAATTAATTTATTTCTGCTGAAGGAAATAGAAATGGCCCAGTTGCTCGTGCAGCGCTGCAAAATGTAGGCTTGTTGCCGTGTCATACGTGAGTTATGTCAGGATCTTCAGCAGTCTTAGCTTTTCTCGTTTTAATGCTGCAAAAAGGGCTCAGATAGCGACTTTTCAGGATCATGGGAGTACATGAGCATCTGATGACTCAAGTTACTTTAAAAAGCAGTACGTTAGGGAGCTATATAAATCACTGTGTGCATGTTTGATTCAAGTTGGTTATTTTCATGAGTGATGCAAAAGAAAAAAGGAAACAAGTTGAGAAAACCTTAACTGTAAAGCAAAGTGTACAGGTTCAGGAAGTAATGTTTTTTTTGTTTTGAAATTACAAAACAAGATTCCATCCCAACAACACTCATATGAATCATTAATAATTTTTAATGTGCATCAGTTCAAATCCCTATAGCAGAACTAATCAGTATCTTCAATAAATCAGAGGTAGATTAGAATTACATCGAAATGCACATTAATTTTAATAGTTTTCATGTCCCATCCTAAATAAATAGACTTAGACATAGTGTTTGCTAAGAAATGTTGTATTACCAAAGGACAGAGACAGCCTCTTAGTAATACTGTCATGCTGTACAAGAAAGTGATATTTCTCCTGTTCTCCCTGATAAACAGAGGCCTGGTAAGCCTCAGAACCAAAAGCACGAGAGGACCTTAGATTCAGCTGGTGGAAATGAGCGCTACACCATCTGCTCAGCATACCTTAGAGAAAAAGGACCTATTTCCCCTTCTCATTCATGTAATTAGTGAGCTGTGAAATTAGTTCTTTAATGGATAGGGAACCTGGAGATTATTGCACTTGTCACAATACAATACAATGCAATGCAAAATGAGCTTATATAGTGCCTTTCATGCAAAGGCATCCCGAGGCTCTTTACAATAAAACTAAACATAAAAATGCAAAAATATTCTACCATTATAGCCCATAAGCTACTGTTAAAGAGAAAAATACACACTCACATTTAAATGGCTCTCCCAAGGAGAGATTTCAGAATTCAAACAGAAATAAATCCTAATTTCAAAAAAGCTAGCATAAGAGGTTTCAATGATCTCAGGCTCCAAGCAGTTTATGCAGAGGTTTCAAATCAGTCAGAAAATATTTTTGCTGCCAAATTGTTCATTATCTTCAAGGCATTAAAGTGCTTTTAAGGCAAGCTGATATTTGACAAGGAGGTAGTGAAACACCAAAAAGCTGGAATGACATGCTGAGTAAGCGTCATGAAAAGTTTAATATTCTAGAAGCAAGACTTGGCAGTAGTCAAAGTCTAGACAACAGCTTTTTAAATAAGTGCAACACATAAATCTGACTCAGAAATGCAAACTGGTTTTTAAATCAGTTTAATTTCTAAAACTGTAGTCCTTGTTTCAATGAAGGAAAGCAGAAATTGCTATGAGGCTTTAACAAAAATATCCCACCAAGAAGCAATCAGAAATTCAACACCACCACCAACTGATTAATTCGATGCAAATTTGGAAGCAGAACTGTTAAGACCCATCAGAAGGAATCAAATGGACATTATGCCAGATACAGAACAACATGGCTGTCAAATTCTATAAGGCACTGAAGTGGAAATCTGTAGGATGACAAAAACCACCCAAAGATGTCAAAGGCACATGATAAGCTCCAGCAGATATATGTTGTGAGGGACTGGAACAGGTTGCTCAGAGATGTTGTGGATGTTCCCATCCCTGTGAGTGTTCAAAGCTAGCTTGAATGGAACTCTGAGCAACCTGGTCCATGGCAGGCAGGGTTGGGGTTAGATGATCTTTAAGGTTCATTCCAAATCCATAACATTCTATGATTCTGAAAATATGTTGTCAAAATCTGTTCATCAAAGACAAAGCAAATGAGGAAGAAAATGCAATAGTGTAAAGTCCATAACTCAGTTGACAAGCCCTGTCCTATCAGATGGATAAATCTGGACCCATATCTACCAGTTACTACTGTCATCAATATAAAGTTACAAACACATCACAAATTAAGTGTATCTAGATTTTCTTGCAAAGACAAATATGTTGCTAAAATTCTTTTTAAAAGTCTGAACAGTTCTTAAAATATTCTAGAAGAAATTGTCCTATTCAAACTAATACGGAAGTAAAAAATTAACTTTGATACATAGTATTCTTATTCTCTAATCAGTTTTGTACCAAACTGAATTGACTCATTAAAAATTTTAATGGAAGATATTGTACGGTTCACTTAATGCACAGCATGAGTCAAGCTTATTTTGTTGATTAGTAAAGTATGCATAAAGTTCATTAAATTTTAGCTCTTATGCTATCTTTACCTGCATATTATCTGAATAATACTTCTAAAGTAGAATAGCTTATAATTTTCATATGCAGCTCATTATTCTCTTCAAGATCATCTTTGTCTTCCTATCTTTAATCAGTAAACTTTTATCCTTGTGAGATAAATCCAGCTATATTTCAAAGGTCAAACTGTTCATAGCATTCTGCTTATTGTCTGATGGTCACTAATGTATTCTGAAAATTTTTGTGCATTAATTAAAATGATTCTTATGTTCTTTCACATGTGACTTCCTCAGCTGCATCAAGAATGAAAAGAAACTGCAAATGCTCACAAATGTATGCCTTCATTTGTTTCCTAGGTGACCATGACAATAGTATTCAATAAATGCATAGAAGTGACAGAACACTTTCACATTTTATCGACGTAGTCCTTGAAAAGGTGTGAACACATTAAAGCAATGTATATAAATTCTCTAATCCATTATGAAGCTTATTTCATCATATACAAAAAATAGTTTGTTATTGACTGGATTTCAGATCATAGTATCATCAGAAACAAAATTAATTCCGATTGACTGCAGTCACTGGTTTAAGTGTTTACGTACCCATTTCATACTGCAACAAGCTTTTCTTGCTAAGCTTGTGTTTATGGCACATGGCCTTCCAAGGCTTTAGAACAGAATGACAATGTTGCAATCCATTTGGCAAAAGTAGTATAAGTACACAAGGCAGGGCATGTTACATACGGAATGAGTTTTCCAGTAGCCCTTAAAAACTGTATTTTATTTCTTACACAAGATCAATGCCCGGGATAGAGCACTGGATGCAAAGTCAGATTGTTGGATTTGGGGTTTTTTTACTCCCAATACATCCAGTCTATTCATAGTCAGGTTTATGAAGGACAGAAATGACGTAGTACAATTTGGAGAGTAAGAACAGCAGCTGTTCTTTAATCTAAGAGCCTGAGCAAGTAGTAGATACTGCAGGTACAATGAGCAGGACAGCTTAATCAAACCTCCTCCCTTCCCAGCATAACTGTTTTAGGGAAAAGGAACATTACTCAGTCATCATTGCACAGTAAGGATTTGCAGTGAAATACTTGCTCATTTCAAAACCATCAAAAATGTCTATAATCACCTTAACCTATGAGCAACACTTCTCCTTTGATGATTACTTACTCTTTTATATTTAGTGACAATTTAACAAACAAGACATAATTATTAGCTAGAAAACCTTGAATAAATGGCATATTTCATAAACAAACAAAACACTTCTAAGTTTTTTGTTCTACCACCTGCCTTTCATTTTTCTTCATATTACTTTTGTATTTTAGGTAATTTCCATTGTAAGCACAGTGTACAGAAGTAGCCCTCTGTCCAAGGCTTTGTTTTTATTATCATTATTTTCCTTTGAAGACTGATTTTCTTATAGAAGCTTCCTCTTCTTTCTTTCTTTTGAACAACTTAAAAAACTTTATGCTCAAAAAGTCTGATGACACTTAGAAGTCAAGAAGCAAAGACTACCTACAGTGCAGGAGAGCTCCTCATTACTGACACTATTACCTTCCTTAGACTTTATCCTGTTCGACAAAAAATTGAAAAGTTGAATTTAAAAATTACTGGGTATAAACTACAGAAACAATGACTGGTTACATATAAAAATAAGATTATTATTATTTATAAAAATCTATAGTTTCTTTATTGTAGAGTCTACTAATGCTTGATCAGAAAGTTTCAAGGGCTAGATCTCAAATTTTGTTAGGACAACATGATTTTAACCCACAAAACAGAGTAACTAATAACATAAGAACTTTTTCCCCTGAATTCTTGTATAATGTGGTGCCAATGGTGCTAACATCACTCTACTTAATTCACTACATATTCTTGATCAGATGCCTCCAAACTCTACTTTCAAATCTACCCTACAAAGAGATTCTTCAAGAAGGTCCAGAACAAGAGATAAATATTGAAGAGAGAAAGAAATTTTACTTTGTCTTTCCCAGGTGTGTTAAAGAGTACAGAAATGAAGCCTGAATGAAAAATATTACCAAAAAACCCCAAAAAAGCTCTTATAAACCCAATAGGAGTCATTCTAACTTTCTGATGAATGTGTGAATTGTATTAGATTTAAATATCTTTCACAACCATGAAAAGAACTTCTGCACAAGCCCATCAACAAAAGACATTTCAGTTAGATGATGCCTGACAACTGCAGCACTATGCACACAAATTCCAGAGACCAAACTCACAGAAAAAAATGCTACTACTACTCACAGAAAACTCTCCCACACTCAAGGCAATTATAACAAGTGAATGAAATTAAGAAGAAATGGCTTGCAAAACTAGTTCCTCCCCAACTCAGCTAATAAAATCTATTGTCCCTGAAATCATTTCACTTAATTCTCACTTGCTAACACATCCCACAAAACCATTTTGCTAAGTGAGATTTAATAAATCTTTCAGCCTGGGATTAAATTTTACTGTTTTATGAACTGTTAAATTGCATTTTATGCTTATTAATGCTCGTGTTTTCTTACTTCTTGACACATTCCTAATTCCACTCTAGGGTACAATTATGAAAAGAGCACAGATATGTTTTTTCACCCCCAAAACTGCATTCCA